AAAAAAAAAAAAAAAAAAAAAAGAAAAGAGTGGGTATTGTATGTCCGGGGTGTGATGCCACCGGGTCTGTCAGGCAGCTGGCAGTGTATGTTCTGTGTGTGTTGTATCCGTGCATACCCAATGTGGTCGTTTCACACTCAGGATGGCAATTTTAGAGTCCCCTAAAGGTGGCTCTTAACAAACGGGACTTGTGATGTTAAACCTCCTGCAGAATAATACTGAAGAAAACAGCAAATCCGATGGGGCATGGAATATTCGAGGAACGCGGAATAAAAGCAGGGAGCCTTTGGAAAATATTGGGCCACGTACTGAAAGAGGGAAACCTGTTTTTCAGACATGGGAAGTGGTGGTTAACATTTTAAAGGAGGGGATGTTCCTCCCTGCACCGTCATCACCATCCAGCAGCGTGCATTACTTCCAACACAGTTAAGAGTATGAGGCAGGAAAAAAAATGAAGCACTTCCTGCTGAGAACCAGTAAAATGCCTTGCGAGCTGCTGGCAGGTATTTCTCCTTAAGAATTTAAATGGAATGGGCTGCGTCTTGATGATGAGTGAAGTGGCTTGGTGATCACTTACGTGTGGGGCATCCGTTATATTTGATTAAGGTGAATATGTAAGTTAATGTTATATAATAGGTGTAACTTAGTGGAACTGGAATCAGGCCAATTTACGGATGCTTTTCATTCCAGAATAACACGTCGCATGATTTCCAGGAAGATTTATATAAAGTTGGCCATTCACATATTATAGTGGGTGGAACTCTGTGCAGAAGGCAAGAATAAATATCTGAAATCTCAAAAAGGATGGCTTATATTCTTAAAATAGACTGTTCTAGGATTTGTATTATGTGACAAAACAAGTTGATGTCTAGATACAGTTATCTCCATGTATAGCACAGTTTATTTATTTGTCGGAATGAATTAACCAAGACCAATACATAATAAGGGCTCAGTTTTCTGTCTGAAAGACACCTCTGAAACCAGAGGAAGATCTGCTGGTATTAAGAATCTGTGTATATGATGCATAAGAGCTATTGTGTTTCCTGGCAGTTAATTGAATCAAACTAGTGAGGCTGGTTTGTAACCTCAAAGTCAGTTTTAGGACTCCATCTCTAAAGCATTTTTTTCTCTCTAATAAATGCTATTTTTAAAGAGGCCAAACATTGGTATGTTCCTGGGATGCCATGGATCTCAAAAGCCCTGCAAGTCCTCTGAAACTTCATGTCAAGAATCAGAAGTGATAGGACGTTGTCACCAATTAATTGGCTTGATGCTTCTGTTAAAAACTGATTATTATCTGGCTCTGGTAGTCATTACGGTTGATTTCATTTGGTCTCTAGATATTCTGTGAAAGGACTCTAGGTGGAAATGTTTTCCTGTAGTACAAGGAGAGGAGGTCACTATATGCAAAAAGGCTTGTCAGTTACCCATTCTCCAGTGTGGCTGCATTTTATCCGTAGGCAGGATGCCAGATTAAAAAAACCCAAAAATCAGTTTTCTGAATTTGCATGAATATTTCCCTCCTTGTCATAGCCCTCAGCCTCTGGGTACTTCATTTATAATGTTGATGAAGAAATGTCACCAAGCCACTTCCGTTTATGGTTTAGGGGCTACATTGATGTTAACTTTAGGAACTATTTAGTCATACAAGATCGTATTTCCTGAAAGAAAATCAATTGGGCTTAAAAAAGGTATTTGAGATGTTTGATAAGGAAAGGAGAATGGGAGAGACAGGTTAAATACCAAGCAAAAGGTTTACCCATCTAACTGCATGCACGATTTCTCCCTTCAGCAACCATTTCTTTAACTATTAAACAATCTTTTTCTATTATTTGTTTCCACCCTCCCCTTTCCTCTTTCTCACGCCTTCCCCTCCCCCCTCTCTTCTGTCTTTCATTACTTCATTTTCTCTCTCAGTTAAAATATTTCCTTCAGAAAGAAATCCATGGCAATATACAAGGTGGGGCAGAAGTAGGTTTATAGTTGTGAGTGCCTGAAACAGCTTATTCTTGTATTATTATTTGTTGATTATTGTATTAATTTCCATATGAACAACTATGAACCTGTTTTTGCTCTGCCCTGTAAGTTATTTTACAATCATCAGTCCATAATTGAATTTCAGAGGGGAGGTACTCTTAAGATATTGATTGTTTCATTTATTTTAAAACTTTATGCAGAAGAAACCCACTAGAAAGTGGGGTTGAGTGTTTAGGGAGTAGGGGTCATCAGTTGACCTTTGCCTCTTGCATCCTGGATGCCTGCTGCGTCTTGGACCTCCCCTGGCTTCTGCTTCTGGGAAGCACACAAGCACGGATGGTGGTCTCTGGAGAGAGATGGGCTGCCTTGCAACATGGTGCA